ATAAGACTGAGATGAACACAGCACCTCAGACTGAAGAAGTTTACTTTCGGATGAAAGACGAAACTTTTCTACTTTTTTTTGTTGTTGTTGTTTTGCTTTGTTTTGTTGTTTGAAAATCCAGAGGACCAGATTTAACTTTTTTAGATTTTTCTACCTGGGTTATTGAGCGTGCATCAGGATATATCTTCTTGTTCTAGAATTGCCACCATCAGGGTTCAACTGTCCCCCTCTTACAATGCTGTGATTGCTAGTATCACTCAGCCCTCTGTGAATAGTAAACAGCCATCAGTGTGCTAATGATCCATTGTTAGGCTGATGGTCCTTCTTGAGCATGTGATCAGCTGGTTCTGGTTGTCAGCAGCAAACTGGTTGATCCACTCTGAGAAGGTGCTATTTAAGAAACTGAGCTGAAAACAGCACCTCAGACTGAGGAAGTCTCTTGGATGAGAGACAAAACGTTTCTATATTTTTTTGCTTTGTTTTTTTTTTTTTTGAATGTCCAGAGGACCAGATTGAACTTTTTTGGATTATGTTGAACACATTGCCTCCCGTCTGAGAGATACTTAGAGAACCAACCAATGGTGTGTTCTGAGAAACCGATTTCTGAGAGTTTATGACACAAGATGTTATGATCCACAGTGTCAAAAGCTTTAGACAGGTCTAAGAAGAGTGCAGCACAATAATCCTTAGCATCCAGTGCTTTTTTTTTTTCATTCATTCAACCTTTATTTAAACAGATAAGTCACATTGAGGCTCAAAGATTCATTTACAAGTGAGACCTGTTTGGACAGACAACAAAAGTGGTAAACTGGACACATGTAGTAATTGGAGGCGAAAAAATTCCTATCAGACTTTTTTTTCCTGCCTGAGAAGAAAAAACTCTGATATTAAAAAACACCTTGCACAAACAAGCACATAGTGATGTAGACATTCTGCAGAGGGGGACGATGAGAGCGGTGAACATGATCATAGATGCTCTCGAGGGCACTGTAAGAGTTCTGATAAAGATGTAATAATCAGCCAGTGCCCTCCGGTGAGATCCATAAACGTTCTCGAGGTATGTCGAGGAATGGCCAAGAATAACGACTATGAGAATATAAGAGTCCTGAAACGATGACACAAAGTTTATTCAGCTGGTTTCATCTGGTTATCAATTGGAAATTCTTCAGGGAGGGGGTGGTGAGCGTCAGATCACATGTTCGCCAGGCGAATTCAGATAAGATGACCTTCAAGGCCAGCCAAGGGAGCCAAATTCAGATAAACACACAGTTGTTTTGGGGACAGGCAGAAATGAATGACATCTACCTTGAGTCTGTGTTGGTCCACTCGGTTCCGAAATGTCCAAACTACATGGCTACACTGATGGAACGTGACTGAGTAAAATCCCCGAGATCTGATCCATTCTGCCCAAAGCATTTGAGTATATGTACTCAAGACACGAACCAAGCCATCATAAAGGCAAGCAGCGTGATCGGGTCAAAATTTGCTGCAGACGACTTCCTTGATCGTAGATAAAACCAGCAATCAGCTGAATCCAAAAAGCAGGAACCAGTTATCATGAATCCAATTAAATATGCGTCCTTAAAATCCACAAATGGCAGCAGAGATAGACACATCATCAAGTCTTCAAGTCAATGAGATATCCAGCTGCGTGCGTGCCAACAGAGCAAATCAGCTCGCCTAAAGCCCATCTTCTCTTTGAAGAAATGTTGTAAATTGAGTTGAGAGACCAACTGATCAAAGCAAGTCCATACTTATGGTTCGTAAGATATGCAAGAGTCTCAGAAAAAGTTTCACAGACAGACAGAGCAGCAAAGCAAAGCAGAGAGGGAGGGAGAGAAGCGTCCGATCCCGGCAAGAGTAAGAGGTGAAGCTTCAACAACATCATTAAGAACCTTCAGTGAAGCAGTGGTTGTGCTGTGTTGTTTTCTGAAACCAGATTGATGTGGAGGTAAGATGTTAAATGAGTCCAGGTCATTTTTGATTTGAGAGTTTATCAGTTTTTCTAGAACCTTGGCTAAAATGCAGAGTTTAGAGATTGGTCCATAGTTGTTCAGTGAGGTGGGGTCTCCTCCCTTCAGCAAAGGAAGAACAAAGGCTGTTTTCCAAGTGTCTGGGATGGAGTTTTGTCTTATGGAGAGATTAAAGATGTGGGTCACAGGGACTGTGATGATATGAGTGGCCAGCCTTAAGAAATAAGATGGAAGTTCATCAGGACCTACAGATTTTTTAGGCTCAAGACTTTTTAACAGTTTATTGACCTCACTGACTGAGAATGGAGAAAAAGAGAAGGTGTGATTAACTGAGGATTGACTTGTAGGAGGGATTTGATTTGTAGAAGTTTGGTTATTAAGTGAAGTGGCTGATTTTCTGTTAGTAACTGTGTCAAATAAAGAACCAGAAGCAACAAAATGTTTGTTGAAACAGTTCAGGATCTCGTGCTTATTTGACACAGGAACAGAGTTAACAAGAAGTTTTGATGGGAGGTCAGATGATTGGGGGCTGCCTGAGGGAGATTTAATGGTTTTCCATAATCTGTTAGGGTCATTTTGATTTTTGGAGGTCTGAGATAAGAAATAGTTGTGTTTTGCTGCTTTGATGGCAGTTGTGCATTTAATCCTCATCTGTCGAAAACTCAACCAATCAGTGTCTGAGTCAGATTTTCTCGCTGCAGCCCAAAGATGATCTCTTCTGTGCAGGAGGTCAGCTAGCTCTGGAGTAAACCAGGGGCTGTCTCATCCTTTTATTCTGAACTGATGAAAAGGAGCATGTTTGTTCACAAAATAAATGAAACTATTATGAAAATAGTTCCAAGCAGAGTTCACACCATCAATTAACAGAATACGATGCCAGTCAAAGTGAGATGATCCCAGAGGAATGACTGTTCACAAAAATGTTTCAAATCCCTTTTTTGGATTGATCTGGGCTTAGAAGGTGGAAGTTTAATATCTCTGAGAGCCGCTGTTACACAATGATCACTCAAAATGTAAGCGAATATACCTGTGCCAGGGAATTTGTGAGGCATATTTGTTAGAAAAAGAACTAAGATGGAGGATTTTTCAGGACGGTTTTTGTTTAGTCTAGTGGGAGAGTTGATCACTTGGGTTAGATTGAGAGACAGGCAACTTTCCTTGAATTTATCACAGGGGGCGGGGGGGTCGACTTATCCCAGTCAATGCTGAAATCTGCCAAAAAAAATTTCTTTAAATTTTAAATTTCCAAGGAATTCCATCAGGGAGGACAGAGCCTCAGGTGTTGCTGAGGGAGGACGATAACAACCCACTACAGATAAAATCTGGCCTCCATTCAAAGTGATGTTTACAGCTAAAGCCTCAAACTGGTTTGGGATTGTTTTAGCAGACACAGGACTAGAAACCAGAGAATCTCTGATGTAAATAGCGACCCCCCCCCCTTTCTTTATTGATTATCACAGCGATAGATGTTAAATCCATTGATTGCCAGGTCATTATTGAGTACAGATTTGTTGAGCCAGGTTTCAGAGATGAAGATTACATCTGCCCCACAAGAACTGACCAGAATTTTCAAGGCATCAAATTTTCTCAGAAGGCGACATGTGTTTACATGCTGAAAATCAAGTTCTGACATGTTTTTAAAGTCATTTGGTGTGCTGTAATTAGTGTGTGTGTGTGGGGGGGGGGGGTCCAGGGTTGGGCTGAATCCCTGAGAGCAGTAACAACATTATTATCAGACATTTTCTTGAGTTTTTCATGACTGATTTGTAATTATGGGAGTTAACAGTGTGACAATTAGTCCCTATAATTGAACCATGAGAAACAGACGTGATCATTCAGAACCCCAAAACAGTGAAAGTTGCAGTGATGGGCAGATCCAGATGTATTAAAAAGATTCAGTGACTCCAAATAGTCTGAGATCTGAAAATAATGACAATAATATGAATGGTGCAGAAAAGTCTCAAACCATAAAGCATCACAAATCAAATGGACAAACAAATCCGACGAGGTGGCTCAACTGCAGTTTGAGTTCCCCCTGCGAAGATAGATGGATGCTCCCATGAGAAACAGAAGCTGGGTCCAAAATCAACAGGCAGAAACAGATCATTTGCAGCAAATAGCAGAGCGAGCTACCAGAAAGCGAGCTGTCAGAAAATCCTCCTAAAATGAAAGGCACGGTCCTAGCTCTTTTCTGGTCAACAGGGGACAACAGCGTGATCCGGACTAAAAATTATTTATTATCCAGGTGAGTTTGGATGGAAGCCTGCAGCAACTCCGATGCAAACTCCGGACTTCTCTTGAGCACCACACAGCGCTGCTCCTCCCCGCTTCACTCTGCTTCTCTGCACGTCACCCTGCTTGTCTGCTCCTCTGCACCCCACAGCACGAGAGGCCACCCCAGGCAAAAAATAACGAGACTGACCGGAGAGGCTGAAGTCGTCACTGGTCTGGTTCTGCTCCAGTCTGGCTCTGGCGCTCCACAGCACGAGAGGCTACCTCCGGTAAACAATGATGAGACTGACAGAAGAGGATGAAGTGGCTGAAATAGTCCCTGGTCTGGTTCTGCTCCGGTCCGGTTCCGGTGGCGCTTCAAAGCATCAGAGCATCTCCTCCAGGCGAAATACAGCGATTCCCATGGAAGTGGACAGTCCTTTGTTTAAAGGTAATGGGCTGCTCACTGAGGCTGAGACCGGCTATAGTCCATTCAGCTGTGCCGCCTTCATGTTAGTAAGCGTGTGTGAACTGTGGTAGTGAGCCTCCACTTGGAACCTTGAAGCTGGAACTACGACAGACCTGTCTGCTTCCCTGAAAAAAACATGTTGCAGTGCTCATTTAGCCGTGCTGTGTGCCTTTTAGAGGAACACAGAGAGGAAGCGCGACATTAATAAAGCAGCAGTTTATCATATCACTAAAGATACAGTCCTTAGCGGCTAACAAGACGGCTAAAGCTCTGACTCTGACACTGAACCACACCTCACAAAGACAAAGTGAACGACAGCTCACAGAGACACCGTGAGCCACACCTCACAGACTTCAAAAGGTAACTTATTTGAACGTTATTCTCTTTTCTTTTAGAACATTTTGCATCTCCTTACCTGATGAGCCAGAAGGGGGCGGAGCTCCTGCTCTTTGCCAGATGGTGGCTTCAGCTGCCAATCTCCGGATGTAAACATCATCAACAACCAACAGGATGTTCTCTGGCTTGATGTCTGTGTGGATGATTTTACACTTGGTGTGGAGGTAATCAAGTCCCTGCAGCACCTGCAAGACCACATTCGAGTCCAAGTTAATATCTGAGTCAAAGCTATTTTTCAAGGCCCAATTGTTCAAAATGTCAGTCATCAATATATTTGTGATTTACTTCATTTTGTATTTTGCTTTGTGTGTTACCTGTTGTTCTGTCTGTACAGCACTTTGGTTGGCCTTGTCGCTGTTTAATGTGCTCTATAAATAAAATGGTATGGTATGGTATCAAGTCCTGCTGGAAAACAAGTCAGAATAATGCCCCTTTTCCATTAGTACCGGTACAGCACGACTCAACTCGACTCAGTCCAATTCCAAGGCTTTTCCATTAGTAACGGTATGTAGAACGGGTCCCTTTTTTCAGAGCCCTCGACTCTGTGGTTCCAACCAGGCTGAGCATGTACCATAACGTGACGACAGAACACTGTCGTCACTGATTGGTCGGGGTGGAGTCATTGGGGCTTTGAGAAATTTTCACAAAACCTGATCCACCATTTGCAATTGGTGATACTCAAACTCGAGGAGCGAATGGACCTATTTTTAATATTTTTAAAATGATAATGACAACGCCGTGGTCTAATGCTGAAGTCAGTGGTGTAGTCTACGTGATACTCGGGTATACGGAGTATACCCACTAGAAAAGCTAAAAAAAATCAGTATACCCACTTAAAAGTGCCCAATGATACATGACGTATCATTAGGCACGTGTCATTGATACATTAAACAGCAGTTAAACGTTTTTGTAACAATCTACCTGTATGCAGCACTTGTTTATTACATTCGCTTATCCAGCGAATTATTGTATAATCAATACAACATTTTTTAGGCAGGTCATCTGGACAGTTTCTTTTTTTGTGCTGAAACGTTTCGCCTTCAATCCGGAAGGCTTCATCAGTCAAGGAAACACACAACAACACTGATTCTTCCCCCAACAGCTTACTCCAAAGTGGAACAAACCAAGGAAGAAAACAAGGAAGAGGGCTGGCAATGGAGGAGGGGGTGTACCAAAGAGACCATCTTATCACAAGCAGAACCGGTTTGTTCCACTTGGGATTAAGCTGTTGGGGGAAGAATCAGTTTTGTTGTGTGTTTCCTTGACTGATGAAGCCTTCTGGATCAAAGGCAAAACGTTTCAGCACAAAAATGAAACTGTCCAGATGACCTGACTGAAATATGTTGGATTGTATACCTGGATTATTGAGCATGGACTTTGCTGTATAATCAATACTTCTGTACTGTACTATCAGAGAAATTTAGAAATGTTCAATATGCTTAAAAATCAAAAATAAATTGACAATTACATTGTACTAACCACTTTACTTTGGTTTCTAAGCACAGTATATGGACCGACCATGGTAAAGTTAGTTTTATATTGGAAATTGGACATTCGCGCTTCGCGGCTTCACCGGTGCCCAACGTCCAATGTAAAACTAACTTTACTGTGGTATACCCACTACAAAAATTTAGAATACACCACTGGCTAAGTACAAGCGTTTTTTGTGCTTGGTGGGTGGAAGACAAAATTCAGAGTGAGCTAGATGGAGCTCAGCTGGTTTGCTCCACCGGAGCCTCGGAGCACCGTCAGGCTGTGCAGGGCGTCATCTCCCCGGCTCCGAGCTCTGCTGGTCACCGTAGAAGATCCTCCGTGCTGCTGACTCGGGCTCCAGATCCTGGCCTTGCGTGCTCTTCGGGTCCGAGCTTTGCTGGTTACCGCAGCGAATCATACGAGCTGCTGACTTGCAGACGGCCATTACCCGGACCCCGACCTTGCGTGCTCATGAAGGCCGAACCCCAATCCCAGCAAACGGGCTGATCGGGACGGGTCTGGACGGAGGATGGAAATGGATTTTTTAAAACATTTTATGTGTAAATTATTTTTTTTTTATCAGTAAAGATTAAAAATTAATAAATACACGGTCCCAGCTTTATCAAGAAATCTTGTTTTCATTTTAATGACTATTAAATAATCTGTTAAAGTTAACTCAGCTAAAAAAAAAAAAAAAGACAAAAAATTATTGGATCTCTCAGGAATATTTCCCTCAAACATGTTTAAAGAAGAGCTGCGGCCTATAGTTCAACTTTATTCTCACACACAGATGTCCAAATCACAAAACAATAATTAAACTTTAAATCAAAGCTAAAAATATAGCTGGGCGATATGGGCCAACATTTATATCTCGATATTTTTAAGATAAACCGCGATATACAATATATATCAATAATTTTTCTTTCCATAAAGTAATAACAAAAATATAGTTCTGAGTCACAGTTTTATCCCAGTTGTCACACAGCTGTAACTGTACAAAATAAATGCCTAAAAAATAAACTATTTACATATATTAAATAGTTTATTTTTTAGACATCCATTTACATATATTAAATAATAATCCTCTTCAGCTGGGGGCAGCTGTGATTGAGAGGCTAGAGAAGTCATCCTCCAATGGGAGAGCTGGGGGTTCGATTCCACCAGCAGTCACATGCTGAAGTGTTCCTGGGAAAGACACTGAACCCCTCACTGCGTCCCACATCCTTTTCAGGGACACCACCAAGTCATTGGTTCAGGTATGTTGACGACACCTGGGTTAAAATTAAATCTCAGGAAGTCCAACATTTTACTGACCACATCAACCCTGTGGATAAATACATCAAGTTCGCACTAGGGGTTGAACGAGTATATAATTTTTAAACTCGACATTAATATAATAGAACCCGAGTAGAACTCGAGTATTTGATGACATCATAGATCTCAAGATACAAAAATAAATAAATAAGTAAAACCGCAATAAAAGGTAATTATTTACAAAAAAAAAGACCAACAAAACATTGGGAGCGTATATTATGCTCCTACCATTTATCATACTGCAAATAAGTCACAGGAAAAACTAAACTATTAGTTATTATTATTAAACTGCAAATGTGAAGAAACGCAACACGACAGAAACGAAACTTAAAACAGTGGATGGGCGGTGGATTGGACATGGTGTTACACTAAACTCTGTGACCTGCAACAGTGCAACACCGCCCCCTACGGTCATACGGTGGTCACATAATATGACGTCACTACGGTTACTCAACGTTACATTTTTAACCTCGATAGATGTCCTAGCAATCGATGTGTAGAATACTTGAGTACTCTGATAATGCCCTAGTACACACGAGAAGATGTAAAAAATGGCAAGTTGGCTTTCTTGGACTGTGAGGTCTCAGTCTCTGATAGAGGACACTTGCAAACTGAGGTGTACCGCAAACCCACTCACAGAGACCAGTATTTGCAGTTCGACTCCCATCATCCTTTGGAGCACAAGTTAGGAGTCATCAGGACTATGTACCACAGAGCAGACAGCATCCTCACTAACTCAGGAGCCAGGCAGAAGGAGAAATCCCACACAAGACAGGCTCTAGAGCAATGTGGATATCCTAACTGGGCCTTCCTGAAAGCAGAGAAGAAACCCAAACAGGACTCCAGTCAGCCATCAGGTGAAAAGGAGGAAACGAGACCCAGACCAGTGGTCATTCCATATGTTGCGGGAGTATCAGAGAAACTGAAACGTTTATTTTCTAAACATAATGTCCCAGTGGCTTTTAAACCCCAAAATACATTACGGCAAAGACTGGTTCATCCCAAAGATCCAGTTTCCCGGCACAAACAGAGTAATATTGTGTATGCTGTTCAGTGTCAGGAGGGTGATCAGTCTTGCATCAGAGAAATTAAACATCTACTGGCCAAAAGGATGGACCAGCACATGAGAGCAACAACATCAGGCCAGGACTCTGCGGTCTACATTCTTCTCCATGCCAGCGGTCACTCTTTCAGGGATGAAGATGTTCACATCCTGGATAGAGAGGAACTATAATTTGAGAGAGGAGTAAAGGAGGCCATCTTTGTTAAATAAAATTGTCCATCATTAAACAGGAGTGGAGGCCTACGTGTTCAACTGTCCCCCTCTTACAATGCTGTTATTGCTAGTATCACTCAACCCCCTGTGAATAGTAAACAGCCATCAGGGGCTAATGATTCATCGTTAGGCTGATGGTCCTTCTTGACCATGTGAGCAGCTGGTTTTGGTTCTCAGCAGCAAACTGGTTGATCCACTCTGAGAAGGTGTTATTTAAGAGACTGCGCTGAATACAGCACCTCAGACTGAGGAAGTGTTTTAGATGAACGACGAAACGTTTCTACATGTTTTTTGTTGTTTTGCTTTGTTTTGTTTTTAGAATGTCCAGAGGACCAGATTTAACATTTTTATATTTTTCTGCCTGGATTATTGAGCATGCATCAGGAAACCCAGTTTAACTTTCAGTTTCTTTACTATGTTTTCCACATGGAGCTTAAAAGAGAGATGCGATTCGACCAAGATACTCAAATATTTATAGGAATCAACAAACTCAGTGGGGACACTATTTGAGGATAAAATCAGAGGAAGAACTGCTGGGACCAACTCCTTGTTTGAAAACATCATCCCTTTGGTTTTGTCGGGATTTAAGACAAGTTTGAGGTGGAACAAATCAGACTGGATGATGTTAAATGCATATTGCAAAAGCTGGAAAGCCTTAACAACTATTTTAGCTCGACAATAAACAACTGTGTCATCAGCATAGAAATGTAAGGATGCATCAGGGATGCTCTGACTTACATTACCTATGTAGCTTGTAAAGAGGGTGGGTCCTATGTCTGAGCCTCGAGGTACAACATTGTTGACTGTTTAACTGGAGGAAGTACCATTATGTTGAAAACATTGCCTCCAATCTGAGAGATAGTTAAAGAACCAACCAAAGGTGTGATCGGAGAAACCGATTTCTGAGAGCTTATGACACAAGATGTTATGATCCACAGAGTCAAAAGCTTTAGACAGGTCTAAGAAAAGTGCAGCACAATAATCCTTAGCATCCAGTGCTTCAACAATGTCATGAAGAACCTTCAGTGAAGCAGTTGTTCTGCTGTGTCGTTTCCTGAAACCAGATTGATGTGGAGGTAAGATGTTAAATGAGTCCAGGTAATTTTTGATTTGAGAGTTTAT